AAAAAAAAAAAAAATCCCCAGGTGATTTGAGTGGTTAAGGTTAAGTCCCTGAGCCAGGGACTTGCGGCACAAAGGGATTGTTTCAGGTGAGCCACTCACAGCCCAAGCAGGTTGTGGTGTGATCTATCTGTAGGGGAGTAACAGGCTGGAGTTCAAAAAAGGTCAGATATGGTGGCTCAGGCCTGTAATTTGGGCCAGCACTTTGGGAGACCAAAGTGGGAGGATGGCTTGAGCCTAGGAGTTCAAGACCAGCCTGAGCAACATGGTGAGATCCCATCTCTACAAAATACAAAAATTAGCCGAGCACAGTGGTACATGCCTGTAGTCCCAACTGCTTGGGAAGCTGAGGCTGGAGGATTACTTGAGCCCAGGAATTCGAGGCTGCAGTGAGCTGTGCTCACTGCCCAGGTCCCAGCCTTGCTGTCTCCTGCTGTACTCTAGCCAGAGTGACAGAGCAAGACCCTCTCAAAAAATAAAATTGCCTAGGGGTTGGGGAGGTGGGCTTCCTGGAGGTGGTGATCCAGAAGCAAATCCTCAACCATGGGGAAGTGGGTGTGGTGGCTCACACCTGTAATCTCAGCATTTTAGGAGGCTGAGGCAGGTGGATCACTTGAGGCCGGAAGTTCAAGACCAGCCTGGCCAACATAGCAAAACCTGTCTCTACTAAAAATATAAAAATTAGCAGGGTGTGTGGTGAGTGCCTGTAGTCTCAGCCACTGGGGAGGCTGAGGCAGGAGAATCACTTGAATCCAGGAGGCAGAGGTTGCAGTGAGCCAAGATCATGCCACTGCACTCCAGTCTGGGTGTTGCAATGTGACTATCTCAAAAAGGGCGGAGGAGAGAGAAAGGGGGAGAATCTGTACCCTGAGGGCATGGAAGGCCTCAATGCCTAGTAAAGAGTGGGGCTTGGCCTGGAGAGGGAGGCCTCATGGGCTGGATAAGGGAGATGCTGGCCCATCTGGGCACGCATGTACCGGTAGGCTTTCCCTGTCGAGATGATCAACTGGAAAGGCAGAGAATGTGGCCTGGAGGCTCGGAAACATCCTTGAAGCCATATCCCCAGGTCCTAGTCCTAACTGCCACTCTTTTCTTTTTTTGAAATGGGGTCCTGCTATGTTGCTCAGGCTGGACTCCAACTCCTGGGCTCAAGCGTTCCTCCTGCCTCAACTGCCCAAGCAGCCACAAACCACACCTGGCCTCTTCCTGCCACTTCTAGCTTAGCAGGTGGCTTCATCTGTATACGGGGATGACGTGACTGCTTGGGGGAATGAGTTGAGCCCTTGGTGGAATCATGGTTCACGCAAGAGGTCTCCGGCAAAATGCTCCAGGCTTGGAGTCCGCTGGGCGCTTCTACCCCTGACAATCCGTTTACTTACCACCACCCTCTGTTCAGACAGGGAAGTTCTTTCCATCAGGATTATAGCGAGGATTGGTCTTCATGGCACCCTTGGCATCCGAGCACGTGTTGTTGGAGCTGTTCTATGAGCCAGTACATACCAGGGAACGGTTCCCGCAATAAACACACGTCTCTTCCTTGTACTCAAGTTCTTCGGGGTTGCAACATTCTGAGAGCTTGTCCTTCATTCAACTTCTGTCCTCAGCAGAAAGAGGAAGTGGCTGTGTCAGGGGAGGGGAGGAGTTATGACTAAGATGTGACCCTGAGTGTCAGCTCCCCGCCAGCTCCAGATGGGCCTCAGCAGGATAGTTTCTCTGGGCCTTTGCCAGGAGCCACGGCCTCCAGCAGCAATGTCAGAGGGCGTGGCCTGCCTGCCTCCTAGGGGAACTAGACTAGAAATGAAAGGTAGTGGAAAACCACTAAGGATTCTCTTGACTCCATTGCTTAGTCCTCCTCTTTCCTTAAAGTTTCCAGAAACTTCCTATTGCACTGGAAAACCTCTGTAAACCAACACTTTGGGTGTGGGTTTATTTTTTGAGATGGGGTCTCACTCTGCTGCCCAGGCTGGAGTGCAGTGGCGCCATCATAACTCACTACAGCCTTGACTTCTCTGCCTCAAACCATCCTCCCACCTCAGCCTCCCAAGTAGCTGGGATTACAGG